ACGGATACCATATTTAATAGTATTGGGATATCGACGGAGGTTTTGCAGCAATGGCATTACTTGGAAATGCTTTTAATACCAAATTAGCTGACTATTTTATAAAACGTATAGATGAAGATGCCCGTTGGCGAGCAAATTCAGCTTTGAGCGCAATTCATTCATTATATCATGAAAATCTGGAACCGAACGCTAAACATGCTTGTCTGAAAATAATGCCATATTTTATTAAACATCAAGCAAAATTAAGCTCAACGCAGAATTTGATTTCTATCATTAAGAGTGCTCATAGTGTAATTTTCAATGATTTTCTTCAATTACATGATTGCATCTCCAAGATTTCATTGAACTATCTAATCGTAAATGAATGTGAAGAATATTTCAAACATCCAATTTTAATCTTTAGGTCATTACTATGGATTGCAATGAAAATTCCTTATGCGGTAAATGTGGAGAATGATGAAATTAAGTTTATCTATGAAAGTAATCATTGCTTGAAAGTTGGAAATGGTACTCAAAGTCAAATTTTTAAGGAACTTCAAAAGATTATCTTGATACGCTTAAAATCCGGCAGTGATAAACAAACTATGATTGAAAGTAATTGCAGTTGGGCTAATTTATTAGACGAACATACAAGAGAATATCTAGAAAGAAGCCTATATCCTGTTTTAGCAGAAAAAGATGATTTAAGTAGTGTGCCTGATAAGTTGATGAATGATGGAGATTTAGCATTTGAAGTTTACAGCAAAATATCTGGATATGAATTAATTAATGAAAATACAGTAAATGCACTAGTACACCTTATCGGAAACTACAAAAATCGCTTCTGGCCAAGAGAGGGTGGTATTGATGCTGTTAGTTATGTGGGTAAATACTTTAATCAACAATTTGCAAAATTTTTTATAGAGCGTGCAAAATTGTATAAAGATAATGCAAAACTTTGTGAAACAGCTTTAACCACTATCAAAGAAACACTTGAAAAAATACCTAGTCATGAACGTGACCATCACTACGACAAGGCTGTTCGTGCTTACGATAATTGTTTTCCCGCTATACACGCTGAAATACCAGCATATCGTTGACCTTATAACACATAAGTGATCATATTTGAACAGTAACGTGGAGGTGAAATTTTTAGAAGATTTCCTTCAAGATACCTTTAATTAAGAAATGTTACTTTGGAAATCTGGGTTATTAGCAAGTACGATTGATGTATCGTTAGGGCTATTTTGATCAGCGATCAATGTCATCACGACTACACTGATTACTTAATTGTTATTTTTAGTATAAATAGCTTGATCATAAATTGATTTTTCAATCTTGCTTATATGTTAACTTGAAATTTCCTAATTTCTTTCATGATGCTTTAGTGAAAGTAA